AAAAGATAATTCTACTTCAGTTTAGATCTTTACAATAATACATTCCCACCTTCAATTATCTAAATAATATTGGGAAGACAGTTGCAAAACTTTATGTTCATCAACTAAAGCTTTGCCGTTAATTTTTCCCTTTGAACAATACCCTCTTCCACACGCGTCAAAATGAAAAATTCACATACGCTCAATTCTTATTTCTGTGTGTCTCTTACACTTAATCTAATTTACTCATTTTACTAATCTAATGTTTGCTGTAGGTGATAATATCATCTGTCACCAGCAACTGTCCACTAGTGTATAAACTGGTCATTAGATCCATTCTCCCACATGAGATTATGTACAACCAGCTACAAGTGGACTGGAAGTATTTATCGTCAGATAGCTAAGATTTAAAAATTTTCTTGAAAGCTGTATTCAATTGCATACATTTTTAGAATAACATATATCGAAAGTAATTACGCGTAAAATATGAGAAGACATTAAACAATACACTGGAATCAATATCAGCGTGAAAGTCGCATTGTAGGATTACGAAAATTGTAACAACATATTACGTTCTTTCAAACAACCGTTTCACTTTGACTACAAATACACTTGTTGCTGCTCTTGAAATCCGGCAAGAAATGTATAAAAATTATTTCCAAATTGTTGTACTGCAAGAAAAATGTAGCAAAAGAAGACAATAATTTGTTTTCCGAGGCCATTGTCCCTCCTAACAGTGTACGTCGAGCAATTTAGTGAAATATAAAGCAATATTATGAATGTTCGAAATTACGTTAGGGAATTAAAAAAAAAAAAAAAAAACGCAAATCAAAATCAGAAAAAAATACAAGACATGCTTAATCTTTTTTTTTCCAACAGCCTTGAGTAACTTCTTCTAAAAAGTAAAGCCTTCTGCTTGTATGGTAAGAAAAGTATAATTCCTAACTTTCTAAATAAATGATAGATAAAAATGTCTGGCAGAGAAAAAAAAAAAGAATGGATTTCTCTCCTTAATAAGTTCTTCGTGGATAAGCAAAATTTCCATCGATACTAGAGGCTTAAAGGGATTGGTGCTAATGGATTAATGAATAATGTCAATTATAATTTCTAGCCAAAAGGTTCTTCAATTACAACTTTGATAGAGTGTACTAAATAGTCCAAATTTTATTCGAATCGGATCATTAGGAATGATTATTAAGGAGTCACATACTACATTACTTTATATCAAATGATTCACGAAATTATTTTTTTCACACATTACTCCGTGAGAAAAGGGAACTAAAAATTAAAGTTTATAAACTGTTTATGCATATATTCAGTTAATGCAAAAAAGTAGGAAATTGTAATTTCCTTCTAATACATTGTTTAACTTAACTCAGTGGCGCAACAGCTCATGATGGCCAAGGCCTACTGTGCCCAACTCAGTAGACGCGACCATGGCCCCTGAGGTGCATGAGCAGATGTTCCGATCAGGTGGTCAGTCTGACGCAAAAACCTCAGTGTTAAGTTCCTAAGCAAGCTTGGTACTCATTTATCGACCCACTGCAGGAGGGATGAAAGGCTGAGTCAACCTTGCCCAGCCCGGGATTTGAACTTCGGAACTGTGGTGTGAAACCACTCAGCCACTGGGCAGTACATTGTTTAACATTGATAAAAAAAATACGTGAAAATTTAGATTTAGGAGTTGTAGAGCATATAGGAATTAAATATATTAAGTTTTTAGTATGTAACAATCCATGTGTTGTTAATAAGTTATATTATATTGTTTAGAATAGTATTTCCAACTCTTTTTAAGTGTTTTATATGCTTGCAGTAATTGTTTTTCAATCGATAGAAAAGTTAGAGAAAACATTAATATAAAACATTCGGTATGAGACACTCATTTAATATTAAGGAACCATTTCTTAAGCCAACATAATTCAGAAACTTTTATAAAACAATTTTTATGAAAATTGAAATTTAAGTTTATTTTTAAAAAAATAATAATGTCGGGTTCTTTGAATGAATATTAACGTCGCACAATTCAGCTACTCGAAAACTTTTAGCGACGTCAATTTGATCCATGGTCAAGTGAAGAAGACAACTGAGCTGACACCCCCTCCCTCTCCTAACTTCTAGATCACCCCAACGGAAGGACGTTTGAGCCTCTACATATAGAACGTGCATCTACCCCCTCTGCATGGCAGCGGTACTAGGCTCGAATTTATGACACGCCGACTACGAGTACATTATCTTGATCACTGGCTACCGTTGCTATCAGATTCCTTAAAATTAGAGTTCTTTTTAGTAACATAATTGTCGGGCATTTATATTAATTTTATTCACAGGTGCTGAGCACTGCGAAAGCTATTACGAGTTTTTATGAAAGCTGACGTACATCCTTCTGCTAACTGCAGATAATACTAGACATTTTGAATGGGTGGAATCCACTGGCAACTTCAAAATGTTATCATGAAGACGGTATTTGTTTTCGCAGCATATTCATTGTTAATAAAAATATTTAATCTCTGGTTTCTTATAATAAAACACGGTGAGAATGTCTAACTAAGAGCAAGATCATATCAGTGTTATTTTAAGCCCATCAATAACAAAAGGCCAAAAATGATATAATATAATAATATGATAGAAAATTTAATAATATTATAGATAATTCAATAAGAGCTACAAATACTCTTAAGGTATCCGACTACGTTGGGAACCGTGATTTTGCAAAAGCGTATAAATGGATACTATTTATGATATTTACTGTCACTTAGATTAGAATATGTATATAAAATTGTTTTAAGAATAGTATTACAATAAAAAATTTATTTAAGTACAATATTTTGACAAAAGATGAACATAGAGTGACCCATTTTCAAAATATTCTCCTTTAGTGAAAAATGCTTCTATTATAATAATATTTTGCCTGTATATAGCTCAGACCTCTATACAGAAGCTCAACTAGAATTTTTGAAATGCGCAACTCGGACGTCGATTTATCCATGTTTTATGACAACAGAGGGGAGAAATTCTAAGAAAAAAAGTGTGTGTGTACTTATATAAGCACGTAAGAAGTTATACTTCTTTGGCGTAACAAGATTAAAATCTTTCTAAAAATCTTTAGCAGGGCAAGCTGGGCCAAGGGTGAAAGTCGATCACAAGCAGAGTTAACCGATACTAACCTTCAGTCAATTGGACCAGCCAAACCTGAGATAATCATGATTTAAATAAATTTAAACACCCCTGCACAGGGACAATAGGACCAATAAAATGGGGGGTATCAGATTGTATCTGAAGATGAAGTGAGCCGAATGTGACATCTGAAACCTCATACTGAATGTCTCGGGGGGAAGAATTGTTCCTGAGAAAATTAAGACATCCGCTTGAAGAGCCCCCGAGTTATGGTCATTTTAAAATAATTAAAACATTTAAAACAATTAAATAAAATAGAAGCAGGGTACCCAGCAACTCCAAACTGGACCTGGTTGTAAGCAAACACAAAAGGAATTCATTAGAACCGATCCGGAGTCTGTAGTTGCAAATGGGGCGGCGCTAGCTCGGGAAAGGAAAACGAAATTAACTCCCCCCGGAGTGGAACCACTGTGACGTAAGTGGTCATGTACATCCCAACGATACACAGAGTAGTAGGTGATCCCAAAATTTCATTCTTCTCTGTAATATCGTGACGTCATCAAAAGACGAACCCAATCGGAAAAACATGGGGATTCTAATTTTAGTGATAACGCCCTCCCTAAGCCCACTATCTACACACGAATTATGACAGATAAATAGCTCAACGATGAGAAACTATGGTCCGAGTTTCATTAACGAATCTGAAAAATCCTCAGATCTATCCGGGATTTAAAAAAAATTATAACTTTAAAATAATTTTAAAATGTTAAACATGGGTAAAGAAATGGGGCTATGTGGTCCTGAAAAAAATATATCTAGGATGCTCATAGGAAGAACAATCGAATCCAGCTGGTGCGGTCCACCAAGGTGGCATAGGATTCGAGTTATTTCTGGGGAAGCCTTGTAAGAAGGAGGGGGCCAATTCCAATTAAAGCTCGCTCTAATACGAAAATATGGCGTATCTCCAAAAATCAAGTTCCAAGCTCTCCTTGGGGAGGGGGCTAATTTTTTTCCATTCCCCATAAGATTAACATGGGAGCAAGATATTTTAGTGCTTAATCGCTCCCCATGCCTACACATTGAGAATAAAGGAGTTGACTAGATGGGTCTCGACGAGTGAAACACTTGGTTCAAATCTCAAGTCCGAGACTCAAACAGGAGCCAAAATGTTGTGAATTTAAAAAAAATTAAGAAGTTTAAGGCAAATAAAAACTATGGAAGAAATAGCCCTATGAGCATGAAATTATAATAACTGGAAGAGCAGATAGAGAGGGATCGAATGAGCCAGGTCCTAATGGACTGTGAGGCTCGGGTGCCGAGATATTGGTCAAAAAGCTGTAGAGGGGGAATGCGTCCCAACAGATATGGTTTATAACACTAGTTATTATGTTCCCCCAAATATCAGTCCCATAGCACCAAAAAAGTGGTATGTTAAAATATTAGACAACGGTATGCGCGCGCGCATAGGTGTCGTGAAGGTACGCGCACGCATCCACGACGGTGTGCGCGCGCATCGTAAAAATTTACCCTCATCCTTTTTCCCTAATTCCCAAAAAGAAGAATAACTTCAAAAATAAATATATGAATACAAAAGGCTCTTATAATTTGCTACAATGCAATAAATGAGTTTATGTTCATCACAATGCGTTCGTAGTAAATACATCTATAATCATATACTTGAATTTAAATAGGAAAACTAATATTTACTCTTATGTTTTATGTACATGAAACACAATTTAAAGATTAATTTACTAATCTTTTTTTAATTTCCTGTAATTATGTTTGATTTAATAACAAAAATTGTTCACACAAACAAATGCATCAGAGAAGCTCCGTAGGCGAAGGACGATCTCTTCCTACGAGTAGTAACGTCAGACATCAGCGCAAAGCAAAGGTTCGCAGACACGGAGGGTATAGCTCAGTGGTAGAGTATTCGACTGCTAATAGAGAGGGCCCCGGTTCAAACCAGAGTGTCCTCTTCTTCAAGAAAGAGAAATGTTTTTTTTTTTTTTTTTGAGAATTTCGAAGGCGGGAATGATCTATCCCGTTCTAAATATTTCTAATCAAAGCATTTTCGTATCCGTTCCTACGGAAAGCAAAGGTCCGCTGACACGGGGGTATAGCGCAGTGGTAGAGCATGCAACTGCAGATCGAGAGGTCCTCAGCTCAAACCCCGGGAATCCTCTTCCTCAGGGAAGTGAAGAGAAATATTTTTTTGAGAAATTTGAAGGCGGGAATGATTTGTCCCATTCTGTATATTTCTAGATAAAGCATTTTCGTATCCGTTCCTACGGAACGCAAAGCAAAGGTTAGCTGCTGCGGGGGTATAGCTCAGTGGTAAAGTATTCGACTGCAGATTGAGAGGTCTCTGGTTCAAACCCTGGTGTTGCCTTTCTTCTGAGAAGTGAAGAGAAATATTTTCCTGAGAATTTCGAAGACGGCTATGATCTCTCCCGTTCTGTATATTTCTAGACTAAGCATTTTCGCATCCGTGACGGTGTGCGCGCGCATCGTAAAAATTCACCCTCATACTATTTCTCTAGTGAGTGAGTGAATATTAACGTCGCACTGTTCAGCTACACAAGGGCTTTTGGCGACGGTCCACGTAATTTTGAACCATGGTCAAGTGACGTGAACGACACCTGAGCTGGCACCCTCCTCTCCTAACTACCACACTAACGGGAGAACGTTTCAGCTCTCGACAGATTTAACGTGCATCGCTGCCCTACACGGCGGGTCTTTAGTGGTACTGGGCTCGAACTCGTGACAAAGCCAGCCACGATCCGATACCTATACCACTCGGATACCGTGGCCCATACTATTTCTCTAACGCCCCAAATAAGTATAACTTCAAAAACGCCTATAATTATTTCAATGGGTTGTAACTCCGAAAGTAATGTGAATTTTTCTAAAAAAAATAGTTCAGACTTTTTGGAGAAGTCTTTACTTTATATAAGAGAGCACACACACAACATATTATTACTTTAAAAGTATTTTGTAAAAAAGGAAAACATTTTGAAGAAAGGTTATTCTAAGTTAATTTTTTGCCAAAATATTGTATTTAAATAACTTTTTTGTCAAAATGTCCTTAAAACAGTTTTATACATGTATTCTAATCTAAGTGACACTAAATATCATGAAAATTATCCATTTATACGTTTTTTTAAAATCACGGTTCCGATTATAGTCGGATACCTTAATCAACCTTTGATAAATTCACTTGTGAAAGAAAATCAAATTAATAAAAGATATATGATAAAGCGTAGCTTATAAGTATATCTGTATAATATACGTCTGCTTAATAAGCAATTATTTTCAAAAGTTGGACCAATAGAAAATAAATCATCAAAAAAGAAAGACCATTGTAGAAGAACATAATGAACTATTAGTTTTATACGGTTTTTCAAATAAGATTTAAGTACATTCATTGCTACAGTTAGTAAACTATTGGATCAAATAACAATACTGAAACACAAATATTTGTTCAAGAATGAATGGTAAGAAGAGTACTTGCATGTTTCATTCTATTTAAGATTCACTTAAAATAAAAAAGTGAGATTTAATTCATAGTTTTCCCAAAATGAATTTCAAACATAACATAAATAAATCGTACTCTTTCGGAAATAACTTCTAATGAGTTAATACACGTTATTCTATGTAATTTCCATCTTAACGAATGCTACATTCACATTTGTAGTGTTTCAAAAATTCGTGGCGAAAGTGCTAGAAAAAAATGTTGCCAATTTCAAAAAAATGTCCTTCGTGCACTTCATGCTTTGGCATTGACACATAGGAATAAAATTCACAAAGGAAATGGTTCCCTTCCCTTCTCTCATATTTCTTAATGCGTGAACATTAGTTTGTCCTGTAAATACTAAGAGCAAATTTTCAACTTTCGTGTTTTACTGGTTGAAGAGAAGCGTCAACTGAAGTAAATACGGACAGATGTGTTTAGAGTTTTGGAATTATTAAAATTCTAGGAAAACCACACTGCAGTTTATGACCGATATATCGTTCTGCAGGCCAAAAGAGCCCGATGCCATTCAGCGAGCGCCATTGCTCAGCAACTGTGTACAGCAGGGTTTTTCAACCCTGGGATGGCGGTCGCCAGTGAAGCTATTTTTGTGCACTTTGTACTCTAACAATATCAACCCGCGGCCTACCACTGTTATGGGTGTGGTCTCGAGATTCCTCCTACTTTTAGAAATAAAATATAAGACGTCAACTGGCAACATATTTGTTACCACTACTGGTAACACTGTTTCGTCTTATCAGTTGTTAGTGTCGTTGAAGAACCTCGCGTTCAATCCTCAAGAATTTTCTCACGATTTAACCTCAAAGATGCATAATACAAATTATTTTGTTCACTCGGTGAGTGGGAGCCCTTTTTCTATCTGTCTTTCATCACCAGGGATCAGTGCTAAGGTTTCACATTTCGGGACCCTTGAATCGAATAGAATGAATAGAATCCTTGAATTTTTAATGGCTTTTCAATTTTTCATTCCTTTTCATGTTTTTCTGTGTAGTTTTCAATTGTCTACTGAAATAAGTATTTCCGAAAATTGAGATGCATCTGAGAGATGCCCGCGAATAACACTCGTTCATTACGACTCAGGAAATCTCTGATACACAACGCTTTGTTCAACTCAAAGAATCAATACCAAGAACTTTGAAGAGTAACTGTTGTTCTCCTTGTCATAAGATCAAGAACAGATCAAATATCCAAATTTTGTTGTATAAAATGCAAAAAATTCATATGCCTTGAACATTGTAAGACGATTTGTGAAGACTACAACAAAGGATCTCAAAATGTAAATAGGTGTTGGTGACAGTGATAACTAACCACTACCTTTGAGGTGTGTTTTTTCTTTAAATTAACATTTCTGATTTCAAGTATTACATTACGACGTGTGTAATATACGTTTATATTGAACGGAGTCAAGTTTGGGCCAAAATAATTTACTAAAAAAGCTTTAAATATATTTTTTCAATTATCTTTTGCAGACGTAATTAGTTGTGCTCATTGAGAGGGTTTCCAAAGAAGGTTTAAATTTTCCTACGTTTCTTTTATAATTTTCCAACGTACGAATTCATATGTGAACCTACGTATTTTTACTTTTTCGGGCCATATTCCTGTTACCCGGCCCATTTAACACATCATTTGCTTTGAATGACTGGTAGATAGGTACTTGTGTCTATTATCTATTACTTCGGTAACAATCCATTATTTTGATAGGTAAGTAATGCTTTAGATAATACAAAATAAAGAGTTTCAGAAATAAGCGCTGCAACTTGTATCAATGATTTCGATAGAATATTACTCTTTATCGTCAAAACCCACCAATAAAATGATTAAATTATCTTCAAAGCTAAGTATGAGGTAATGACAGATTCCGCGTCCCTGTGGCGGAAGGTTAAAATTGTTTAATTTTTATTTTAGGCTTTTCACCCTCGAGGAAAAGGCATCATTTCAACAGGGAAGAAGATTTATTGAGACAAAGAACAAGGATTTGCAATAGCACAGTCCAGTCCCAATGAATCTTCCGAGACAAATCTTGTTTTTATAACTTTGATCGAATGGGTGTGAAAAATACTTCGGACTGCCCTCTGTGTCTTAAAAAAGAGGATGCCAACCCAAATTTTAATTTCTCTTCTGCAAAGTATTGTATTGAGCTGCTCACAGGGAAATGGTCTTTTCTTTGACGTAATAAGTTTTCAAGAAACATAACCTGGAACGCCATTGCAAGACTAATTGCAATATTTTCAACATTCACCCGAAGCCGAGGTGAGAAAAAGGGAAATTAATCAACTGAAATCAAGGCTATCTACACAGCAAGCGCTTTTTCTCGGTTGAACGATAGAAATCTTGAAAATGCTGTAAGATCATCTTACACGCCTCACTTTGAAAAATAAGTGGATAATATGCAAAGCCAAAAATAGCATTAAATGGAACTATTTTGAATTTTTTGTTTGCTACTTTTTTCGTGTGGATATTGCTTATGATGCTTAAGATTGCAATAAAATAAAGAAATATTAAGAATGGTTATACTTTTTTTAACTGCACCCTCCAGCAATTTCCTGTTTTTCAGATGTGCGCATAATAAGTTTAAGAAACCCTGGTGTACAGCAAGAGAAAGACGCGGTTTACTGTGGCGCCTTCCCAAAGGTGGTCCACCTTCCTGAATCTGCTTGGAATGGACAAAAGAGAGCCGTTTCAGTGCCACAACTCAACGCAAGTGGAAAGAGGTCGGGCTATAATATTACGTTACGGTGGTCCGGGGCTTTGCGACAGATGTTCTGTAAAAGGAGATCGCTATTGTAAGGGGGGGGGATCCTATTGGACAAGACTGTTTTTATGCATGGAAAAACCAGACTGGAAAGTGAAGATATCACTCCAACCTTCTCCCTCGATTTCAATTCCATAGAACAAGTGTGGGGAGATGCTTTGCGGAAAGATTCCAATCTCCGAGACTGAACTGAAACAGATACTGATGGAGAAATGACTTGAAGAATTGTTTCACAATATTATGCTGAGTATGGAGTGAAGCAACCATTGCGTACTAAGGACTTCTTGTTCTTCCTCTTAGACGGACAATCATGTGTAATTATATTATGAGCTGAATCAATTCTTTTCTTTTCAAGCATTTGTGAGCGACTTACCCCTCACCCTCTTGCCTACCTAAGAGTGAGGCACTTCCATTATAACAATTATTTATTTTACTCAATCGACAACAGTTTAAGTCAATGTCCTAGGATGGAGAAAGCAATAAACATTAAGCGAAAAGCCGCAAGTAACCAATTCAACTTAACCTAACCTATCGTTCACTACAAATCCCCAATCCACTCATTTAATACAGTGGCAAACACCGCTCTTAATCATAAGCTGCGAAAATCAACTTTATTCTGTATCATCTTCGTGGCGCCCGTAACAGCTTCTCGGCTCCTTCTTTCTACAATTACAAAATTCTTACTTTATATA